GGTCTTTTCCCAAAGTCTGAGCTGTAGGTTCTGCAATAATGTTCATTACACACATATGCTGTTTAACAGCTTGGATGACAATCGCAGATATAACCTGAAATGCATGCCTGTCTGCCGCTTTCACTTAACCGTTTCTGTTGCAGCTTTCTTTGGTTTGGTCTCTGATCTTATTTTATCTCCAGACTAGGTACACTTATCGCTGTAAGCGTCTCTGAAATTATCACAAGGAGATCTAAGATGCAGCCAGGTTGGTGAATACAAGTTCTGTCATGTGCTAACAACTGTACTGATGTTCTGGCTGATAATGTTGAAAACCCAACCCAAACTGCGCGAAGGACATAAGAATTAATTCATATTACGCCCGCATTTACAGACGCCCATTCAATCGGACTGTACCTCAACCCCAACAACTTCAGCTTCCCACAAAGTGCACTTTGTGCACAAACCCTCCAAAGCTAGTAAAACGTTGCCTTTCTTTATTTTCGGACACTTTGAGAATTGTCGTAGGATCCCCCTCAATGACTTCATTTATTTCCAAGTAACTAAGAGGGTCCCTTGGGGGCAGTTGGATGGGGTAGCAAAGCTCTCGGCCGCACAATACCCTGCTGTGGCCCGGCATTCACGCAAAGTGTAGGAGTCCAGATACAGAGAGCTGTTCATAAACCTGCCCTACAATCCAAAAGCTTGTCATGTAGTACTCCACTGTAAGCTTTGTTCAGGACTAATTTCCGCAAATTAAAATAAAACATTTAAAATGGCAAAAATTGCGGTCATTCTGCCCTAATAATTATTTTTTTCCCAAATGTACCCCCCCCCCTCCCAACTAAAAGACTTCATATTTGTAAACAGCAAAATTGTCTTAAAGGGATAGTTCATCCAAAAATGAAAACTCTGTCATCATTTACTCAACCTCAATGACAAAACTTTGGATGTCACTGACTTTCAATATATGGATAAAAACATTAAACATAAACAGAGAACTAAAACTACAACAACAAACACAACAAAAAAAACAGACAGAAGAAAGAGTCATACAGGTTTGGAATGACGGGGGAAATAAATGACAGTATTGTAATTTCTAAGTGAACTATCCCTTCAGAGCCATAACACATACTAGATTATAGATGTAGTTTAAATATAAACACCAGACACCTACTGGGAAATACTGAGATCATATCAGACCTATTTGAATTTCAAAAGTCATTTCATTACACAGTCAACAACACAACCACACTGACCCCTGGTCACTCAGGCTTTTTCAATTCTGCAGTAAATTCAGTTCCACACCACAAAGGTCTCAGACAACCAGGGGGGGGCTTCACTGCCCGGGACACTTGGTCAGGATCCATAAAATGGCCCGGCTGGCCACACAGGAGGCTGACTGTAAAAGAGCAGGCCCAGAATTCAGCAGGGACGAGCTGTTTACAGAAAAAAAAGAGTCGGTGGAGTCAGACCTGCGTGTGGGTGGTCCAAAGACACCGGGAAACACTTTACACCATGAGTGACCATGAAACACACTTCAGGGAGTCTAAACCCAAGGGCCAGAAGTCCAGAACCAAGCAGGCTCACATCTGTATGGTCAAAACCCAAGAGAGCAACTGCTTTTGCCAAAGCAAGAGTACATTGTAGAATTGACCAGCAGATTAATGTCTCTCTTTGGATTTGGAAGGAAGTGTTGGAGACTTTGTACTAGACATTGCCAATACCATCTATGTTTGCATCTATAATTATTATTATTATTATTTTCAGATATGTAAATTACATTTCCATTATTATTATTATTAAGCTCAAAACTAATCTTAAGATCAAAACTAAATCTAATTTGCATTATTGTAAATAATAATAAAAATATTTTTCTAATTTATATGAAAATTTATTTTCTTTTAGCTTATGCTAAAATGCAAAAAATAAATCTCATCCATAATGAATGGATGCTACCTAAAAAAAAAAAAAAAAAGAAGCTGATCATACATTTTCACAAGGTCAAAGGTTGTATGCTAACAATGAATAAAGTTATTTTACCACTGAACACTGTTTACTATTGAACTCACAGTGATGTAATCTGGGTGCTATCCAGTAGTAAGAGTTGAATATTGGTCAATCTCTACTTTCAATGGCATGATATGAATTATTGCCTGTTTGCATGAAAAATAATGATTCAGAGTCACGCAGAAATGAACAAGTGTAGCCACTTCTAAAGTTCAGCATGACTGCTCACATGTACACATTCAAATGAGGTTCTTCAGAGGAACCGTCACATGCTGATGGTCACAGATGCATATTGATGGACAGGTGTGAATGAACGCAGGTCAAGAAATTCTTTATATGCCAAGCAAAAGGTGACAACTGCTTGAGCCATTCAGGACAAGACTCAAACAGGGACATCATAGTCTAATTGAGTCTAACTACCTTAACTAGCCCCATACAACAGTGATTCTTAATCCTGGAGCACTTGAGTATTGCACATTTTGAATGTATTATACCCAGTTCAGAGCATCAAGCAATGAGCTGACGATATAAACCAGGTGTGCAATTAAGAGAAACATCCAAAATGTCCAGTTCAAGGCTACTCCAAGACCAGGTTTGAGAAACACTGTCCTTCTATAATGTTACATCCAATGATGGTGGCATATAAAAGTTATTAAGAGAGGAGGAGCTCAACTTGTGTGCCTTCAAACTAATCAAACTTGAGTGTTGCATGCACACTACTGGTTCTAATCAAAGCAAACTCATCACAGGACTGTTGTTTCTGTGCTTAATTATGTCCAGACAAAACCAAACAATGTATTCAAGATGTTCATACATAGAGGGCAGATATAAAGGAGGCAAACATTTAATATTACTTCTAAAGCTTTGACTCCAGTAGCTGTTATTAGTATGAATGATGAAGTATGAGTTCAGTTTTAACTCAGTAACACGATGTGGAAACTACAGCTCAACCTTGCAGAAGAAAAAAAACTGGCTTGCTGTTTTCAGCTGGTCTCCCAAGTCTGGCAAGCCTCTGAGACCAGCTAAAACCCATCTTAAAATGGTTTAAGATTATTCAGGATCAGGATTTTCTAAATAAGCCTCTGCACTCAATATCTGGCTAAAATAATGCCAATATTGCTCTAAAACCAGCCTAAGATGATGTATTGGTCTTATCTTGTTTAAGATGGTCTCCCTACCTGACCATCTAAAAATTGCCTTTAAAACCATCCAAAACACCTTTTTGATCATAGGTTGGGTGACTAGGACCAGCAAATCATCACGTCCCCCCCCCCCCAGAAGGGAATCAAAAGTAGATAAATATAATCACATGTAGCCTAACACAGTAGCTAAATATTTTCATTAATATTTCGCCATGGTACATGTAAATACTTTAAGGACTCAAATACAGCAAATTGAATCTAGAGGTTCAAATGAAATGCTCTAACCTTTTTAAAGTTCCTCGGTAGGGTCCCTCCAGAGTAAGCGAGGGTCTTGTAATTATAAACCTCAGTGGAGTTTGAGGGTCCACGATCCACAGTCCCACAGCTGTCCGATTTGGAGGACGTAAAGTAGACCTCCCCACTGTCATGACACAACGACCCGCTGTCCGGCTCGTTTGAGTTCAGCTTCTTTACCCGTCGGAAAGTCATATTTTTCATATTCCGCGTGTCACTCGATAAGAAAGCAACAGTGGATGAAAGAAGAATGAGAGATGAAAAGTACTGAGTGTGGGTGAAAAGCCACCCACTCGCCACCAGCTAGCAGTCTGACTTGTGCAACAAACCCCAGCTTTAGCTCAGTATCAGCTGCAGCATCTGCGGACAGACTCGTCGGGTTTAGAAACAAACGCACATGTGAAGGAAATACTTGAAAGAGGGGGCGGGAACAAGCGATTGGGGAGAGATGCTGAAATCTTCAAGGGGGCGGGGCCACACAATTGGCGCGATGTGATTGGTTGTCATGCACAGAAGCGATGTTTTGGCACGACAGTACATCGAAGCCTTCGAAAGTCAATGAAACTGTTTTGCAAGCATAAATATTATTAAACCAGACATAATTAAGCAATAGTAGCAACATTTTAGATAAAAAATATCCGTAATATAAATATACGTTTACGGTATACGTAAAAAAATATATAATCAAATAAAATAATTAACTTATTTTCAGTTGCGTAGAAATGGTACATGAGAAAATGAAACTTGGCACTTGCACCCAATGGTTGAGCAGGCTGGTGTAAAATTAGTTAAACTGATGGCGCCCTCTAGTGCTCATATGCGGCAAACTCCTTATGAGTGTTGAGGCAAATTATGACATTATGAAACTTGTATCAAAAATCAGTGACGCACTGCGAATCATTTAACATTGAAATGTTTATTCAGACAAATTCACAAAATTAAGAGATCCTCTACATTCTCAGGAGCAATGTAAAATGACAAAGCCTACCAGAGTGCCATAAATGTGTAATCGAAAACCTGAAGGAAATACAATAGATTGACAACTGTGTAAATGTATGAAATGCTGCAAAATCAGTTTTACACAACTGACTCAACACATTCTTGATACTATTATAACCTAATAAAATCAGTTAACATACTGTTGATTTAATTTCGGTATTTTATCTAAACATTACCACTACTATTTTAGGTGTTTACATTTTAACAGCAAATAAATTAGATGTCTCATAAAGCTCTTTAGATTTGATTTGGCTCAAGCTAGTCACTGATCTGGTAAAGATCACACTGGTAACTTGTTTAGCCTGGAGTAATCTGACATTCATGATTAGTAAATTAGTAAAAGTAGCTGAGAAAAATCTAAAGGAATAGCTAAAAGCAGTGTGCAGAGTTAGCACAGATCTATGGACAGATCTTCCTATACAGCAAAGTCACTGCGCATCAAACCGTGATTCATACACTGGACGCTTTGGAGTGATTTTTTTATGTATATCTACATAAGCTTAAAACAAATATCCATCCTATTTACTTGGAATGACCTGTGCACGATATGTATATCACAGCAATCTATGGACAGATCTTCCTATACAGCAAAGTCACTGCGCATCAAACCGTGATTCATACACTGGATGCTTTGGGGTGATGCATTTTTTTATGTATATCTACATAAGCTTAAAACAAATATCCATCCTATTTACTTGGAATGACCTGTGCACGATATGTATATCACAGCAAAAAATGCATGCAAAAATGCATGAGCTACTGTTTAAGAGCACTGCATTTCTTTAAAGAGAGCATATTTGAGGTTAAGATGGTCTAGTGAAGAGTTTGTACCTCATGTAAGGATAATCTCCAAAAAACACAAGGATTTGAGTAAGAGCTAAAACCTTATTAAGCATTTGCTGCAAAATTGACATAGTGGCTTTAAACTGTCATTGGCTTCAGAGTAATTGTTAATGCACACAGAGTTTCGAAGCAAACTTAAAACAGCTTCAAGCGCAGGTAAACTCTATTTCAGGTTGAAAAAGCCAGATTTGGCTTGAGGACCCATCAGCATACTGGCTTGGTTTTTGTGTGTGATGCGAATCTGAGGAAGAAAAATAGAAAGACAGATAAAACAACACAATAAGTTAAATCTCATTTAATGCTGACTTGTTTCTATTGTTTTAAACTGAAGCGAAAGGAATAGTTCACTCAAAAATTTAAAATAAAAATTAGCTCAAAATTAATTCACCCTGAAAATGTACTCACCCTCAGGCCATTCAAGATGTAGATGAGTTTGTTTCATAACAGATTTGGAGAAATATAGCATTGTTTTTATCAGCTGTTTGAACTCTCGTTCTGGCGGCACCCATTCACCCATAATGATAATTTTCTCCAAATCTGTTCGAATGAAGAAACTCTACATCTTGGATGGCCTGAGGGTACATTTACTATTTCAAATTGTAATTTTTGGATGAACTATTCCTTTAAACGGTGAAATAACATAAGCTGACGAGAACATAAATGCTGTTTTGTTTCAGTTTGGATGACAATCTATCACTTAAATTTAGTGATGGTTCATACTTGAATTATTTTTTTGAATGTTTTTTTTTTTAACAAATCATTATAATTCACTAAAAGCTTAAATTAGTTGTATTTTTTATTAGAAACCACTTATCTAAACACTGTTAATGGTCTTTTAAAAAATCTTTTTAGTGAATAGATTCAAAAGAGTCACCTGGATGAATCAAAGTCAAATGCTTAGAAAGGCAGTATGGTGGACACTTACGGTACAAGGTGGCTGCATCCACGGTTCTCCATCAATCTGCATGGGCAAAGGCTTCTTTGTCCTATAAATGAGTGAACATTTTTGAATAAAACAATTAGATACATTTTTAGAAACCAAAATAACCAGTGAATCATATGATGGGCAATTGCTTGGCTGACTAAGCAGACATTCACATACGACTCAATAATGGTTGACAGAGTGTTACAGAATAAATTGACTATGCCCATTTAATGACAAATGAATTAATGGAATGTAATTTACATATTTTGCTTTTGAAAAAAGCGAACAAATGAGTATGCAAATACAGGGAATGTTGATTAGACAGACAGTCATGTCTGAGCATGTCATGACATGTTGTGCCAGTATGAGCTTGTTTAAGGACAATTGCTGACATCTGCTGGTAACCTTATGTCTCACCTGATGGTAATCTGAGATGTTTTGGCAAGTCGGACTGCGCTCTTCAGCCCTGTGTATATCTGTCCCATCTCAATGGCTCCTTCCAATCCCACCACCTCCATGCGCTTGTCGCTCATGTCTGTTCGGAGACAGTCTGTTCAGTGTTTTGGATGATCTTCATATTAAAAGTTTTTTTCCCTGCATTGAAGGAAGCGTACCTTGCGGGCTCACTTTTAAGACGTCGGGGTCTACTATGACCTCAGGCAAGTCCTGGTCCGCTCTGTCACTTTTTTTGGCTTCACCCCACAGGTTAGAGCCGCCGTGCATGCTAGGAATGTTGAGGACGGCGATGCCCTCCAGAGAAAGACTACCAAGATCCAGCTGGGTCCCGCAACACTGGATGAGGCCAGACAGAGGCACTGGGGTCAGTTCCGTAAAGTTTTTCATATACAAAACGATTTCTAGCCGAATACTTCTAACATGCATGAGCAGATTTTTAAGTAATGAATTGCATTTGCTTCATATTCTGAATTAATGCCCCTGATCTGCTTGATTGAAATGTTCCTGGCTTGAGCTCTGACAGACGACTAATACCAGAAGCAGGTTAATAACATGTGTTAGTACTCTAATGCCCTCACTGTGCTCATGCTTTTTAGTTGATGCTTTTTGATGAGCTTTCAACACAAGGGAAGAAGGGTAGCTGGAATGATCAATAACCTCTTTGAACTTAGATAGGAGTGTGATCCTTTATTTATAAGGCGTTTTTTCTCACCTCAATGGTGAGACACTCCTTGAGTTTTTTACAAGATGCTGAGATCGTCTCGGACGTGGCAAATTCAAAATACCACAGTTTGTTCTTCATCCTGTAAGAAAGTTATATATGCATGAAAAGGAAGCAACAAATGTGTGATACCCATTACAGATCGTTTTATTTGGCGGTTTTTATTATATATGCTTTTGATAATTAAATTGGACGTTACCAAGTCAAACTGATTTTCAAAAAAACAACAAAACAAATACATAGTGTATATACACTATAGTCAAAAGTTTGGAGTCAGTAAGATTTTTAAATGTTTTTGAAAGATGTCTCTTATGCTCACCAAGGCTGCAAATATTTTATAAAAAATACATTAAAAACTGTTATATTGTAAAATATCATTACAATTTAAAATAACGGTTTTCTATGTTTTAATATGTAATTAATTCCTGTGAATACAAAGCTGAATTCTTTGCAGCCATTACTCCAGTCTTAGTGTCACATGATCCTTCAGAAATCATACTAATGTGATGATTTGATGTTCTAATAACATTTCTTATTATTATTATTAATGTTAAAAACAATTGTGGTGCTTTATACTTTTGTGGAAACTGTGATACTTTTTTTTCAGGATTCTTGATGAATAGAAAGATCAAAAGAACAGCATTTATTTGAATGAGATATCTTTTGAAACAATGTAACATTTTTTTACTGTTACTCTAAATACATTTTAATGCCCCCTTCCTGAATTAATATCTAATAAAATAAATAAATAATAATAGTAATATTTAGTTTACAGTTATAATTATCTTTATTACAATTATAATTTATTTTTATTTCTTTCCAATAATGAAATTCCAGGAAATAATCGGGCAAAAATGAAATTATATATATACTGTATATATATATATATATATATATATATATATATATACATACATTTTTTAATTTATTTTTTATAAGGAAATTGCATGATTTAAGCCAAACAAACAACCTACATTTACAATGGTTACAATAAATTAAAATCTATTAAATGTTTCCTATAAATAATTTACATCAAATCCACTGTTCCGCTGTGCATTGTAATGAACATTAGACATACACTCCATTTACAAGCATCACATAATATTTAAAAGGCCAAGATTGAGTTATTGTCTTATACCATAAATATTAAAATAAGATGATGGATTTTTTTGTATATTCTTTTTTATTTTTTGAAGAAATACATATTGATGAGTAGATCTGTGGACTCTAGTGGGGTCCTAGTGTGCAACATCCCCACCTGCTGTTAAACTTCTGTGGGTGTTTCTCCCTCATGGTGTGGAAGCGGTGAGCAATGGAGGCATCCTGTTCCACAAACAATCAACAGTGAGAATGATAAATATACTATGAGTTAAATAAGAAAGTTTTTACAGATAACACATATTATTTTGGCAGAGAAACAGAAAGAAAATGAGATGATTGAAACTGCATAAAATCGAATACAATAGAGGTCATATTTCAGATGGATGCTGTACTGTATGTGTCATACCACTCCAATGGAGAAGTAGTTGTTGATGATTTCGTAGGGCACAGGGTCACCCCTTTCCTGACTGTCCTCCAGGGTCACCTGTATGCTCCAGCGATCCATCGGAGCCACAGAACTGCCCTCAATGTCCTTCAGGATACGGCCAAGATCCATTCCATCATAACCTACAAAAGTATAACACGTTCAAGTTTCAATATATATATAGCACATGTTCAAGTTCAGCTTTTGCCCTCACCTCCTCCCCATCGAAGACAGCGTGCAAGATCATTTCCTGTGCCAAGAGGAAGCACAGCCACCGGGGGGCGCATTGGCAGGTTGGCTTTATCTTTATGAGGAATTGAAAAGTGAAATGAGATCTAAACATACATATCCTCTATGGTTTTGCATTGAGTGTTACACAATGTATGTTTGATTTAGTTTCCAACCTATAGCGTCAAGGATCCAGCCAACTGTGCCGTCACCTCCACAAACTAATATTCTATAGTCTGGCAGATCTCTGAAGAAACATAACCTGGTTGGGAAATGAAAGATCATATAGATTACAACCTCATTTTTTTACAAGCTTCTTTAAGGTATTAAACCCAATATATCACCATCCACATCTATGAAACACAAAATGTGGATCATAAATCATGCGTTTTTCAATCTTAGTTGGTTTTTAATAGTTTAGTTGTCCACAAGTTCAACCAAGTGGATCCAGGGCACAAATAAAGACATACATATGCTGAAATATTAGTGAAATCCTTACCCTGGTCCTGGTCCACCACTGGAAAGGTTATAAACCTGCCGAGGATTCAACAAGTATTGGAATTTCCGAAGGACTCTGTAAAAACACACATTTTGTGAGTAAAAATTATGATTTAAAATACACATCTCTAAAGACACACAGGAAATTAGACAATAACTGACTGATGGAAGTGTTCTCACCTCTCTCCCTGTTTACCGCCACTTTTAGGATTCACAAACACCAAAAGAGGATGAGTGTCAGGAATTGGGTTTATCTGTTTGGGGACAGGAAGTTGTGTGTTAGTTTCACCGCCATCATTCAGTATCTCTTATCTCAGCCTGGGAAAGCTGAAACATAAAAGGCTGTCCTGGCTGTGTCTCTTACCTGTAGAACCTGTCCATCAGGTGTAGTGTTGTGGTCACTGTCATCACTTGCAAATGCACAGCCGTTCTTTATGCAGTTCGGCCTCTCCTAAGTGAGAAAACAAAGAACAAAAGGTATAATGGAGAATGAAATCACAATTAATCTGTGCTTTTGTCTTCTATTTAAGCAGACCTGTAATCTTTTAACCATTTAAACCATCTAATCATGTTGTTTTTAATTTAACAAAATAGAATGGTTGTGCTTTTCCACAATCATGGAGCTTTGCAGGCTATATTTATCATCTAATAAACATCTTATATATATATATATATATATATATATATATATAAACATTAAATATAAAATAATAAAAGTGTACATGTAAGCATATATTTGAGTGTATTTTGATGTATACAGTTGCAAATCCTGAGACTTTAATCCATGGAATTATGTAGGTCTTCCAGACGGACTTTAATTTGCATTACCTTGATGATGGGATAAATGGCCCACGGTGGTAAGATATGATCTCTAAAAGGGCCACAATCACATTCAAAGGGTTCCTGGGTTGCACACTCATCATGTCTCTAAAATATGACAGTAAAAAGCATTTAATGATAAACTATGAACCAGAGTAAACATGACAAATCGACCTGCTTCAGTTGTGATACTTTATCAACAATTAATCTTGAAGTGCATTTCTTTTTTTTACCCAACAGCCCCAAACTCACCATAGTGTGACACCAGACACAGCGTTTCCCAGTGAGGCCGTGCAAACTCTTTATCTTCTTCTGACACCGGTCACACTTCCCAGAATCACAGTTTCCACTCACCCAGTCATGGGCCGCAATCTGCATGCAAACAAATTAGATGCACATATGCTATTTACGTTTCCAGTGTCTGCTTGATGGCAGTACTGAAAAAAAAAAAAAGCTTACAGAAGATGCTTAGAGTGGGCTCTATCTGCCCTGGGCCAAACAAGTAATATCTACAATAGAGGACCTTGATGAGACACCCTGTTGATGTTCCCAGTTGAATAAGAAATAAAACGGAACTTTTTAAAATCCATGTAGAACATTTTTACACTATTTAAAGGATATGTACTTATTAAAATGTGTTATTTTATTTTATTCCTTTTTTAGGTTTTACTTTTTAATATACAGTTTTATATACTAACATATACAGGTAGCATTAAAGGTTGTTTGTGCAGTTTTTAAGCTTTATGCACATCACTTTTTAAGTTATTTACAGTGATGCCATTAAATCCTGAAATGTTTAATTGTATTGGTTTTATATTTAATCGACAAAAGCAAAAGAAAAGAAATAAAGGTTTTCTTACCCCCATCTCTTTCTTTGACATCACATATGTGCGGGTGCACGGAGCCGGGTTTTTATTTGCACACCGGCCATGGACTGTGTATTTGCAGCCTGTGTATGATACCAAACTGATCAGAACCACAAATATGAATTTGCAAGGTTATGCATAACTACATTTTGAGCTAGGTAGATAAACCACAATACACATTGGCCCACTGGATTTCAGGAATGTATCAATTTAAATTGCTAAAATGAAACCTTTTATTGGCAGTCTGGAAATATTTATTACATTTGCAAAACAAACTGTGAGCCTATCTTGTAAATTACCCAGAGTTCCACTCACAGGTGCAGCAGAGACCCTGTTTGCGCAGCCCCAGCAGCATATTCTGACAGACGTTGCAGTACACAGGCTTGTTGAAATGTTTCAACCTCCACAGGTGCTGGCCGTCTCTTTGGGTCATCTTTGGAAAGCAGAAAATCATCATGTTAGAGAACAGGTTATGTTTTTCTTTATAATCTAATTCTGTAAAATGTAACATGTCATTCAATATATGTTCCTATGAAGCTAATGATTCACATTTCTTTAATCTGTCTATAACCAGAGTGTAGATGTAGATACAAGGTAAAAAAGGCAAAGAAATGGCTACGAAATATGTAGCCTGATGACAAAAGAACATTTATCATAACTCACTCACTCTCATGTCATTTCAAACCAGTATGAACAAATGATAAAGGTCTGGTCACATTTACTGATGTTCGGCAAATTCTCACAGGCTAAATACAGTTATTTCAACAAGTATCCACACAATTGGGAATTTAACATTAAGGTCAAAGATTTCCCCACACTGATTTTGCGACAAGTTCAAGTTAGTTGCATAAATTTGCTGTATTGACCAACAGAGATCTACACAAAAAATTCCACTAATGGGACTGCACAATTCGTAAACAATTTGTGATTCATGAACAAATCAGTTTGATTTTTGAACTGGATCAATCGGTTCAATTAAAAGAATCAGCTCATTCATTAATGGATTTTGTTTTTAAGTTCAACTCACTGACTCAAGGAATCAATTGCAGCTTACTGGAGGGAAACTTTAGCTGTGAATCATCACACAATGCTATTGTATGACTTCTGAAGACTTGAAATATAGCAGATGAGTCACATGAACTACTCTGATAAAAATTTTTTGGTTTTGTATTTTTTATCTATGGCCTCCATTGTCATAGGGGAAAAACATTTGTGAGGATTCACCAGAAATTCTCCTCCTGTGTTTCACACAAAAAATAACAGCAAACGGGTTAGGGTGGATAAATGATGACATCATTTTTAGTTTTGGATATACACCTGTAATAAATAAGATGAAATGTCAATCTATTTAAGAAACAGATGACGACATAAGCGTAAATAAAATGCTAATCAGTGGAATGTGCTTTTGAACCACTCTCAGACTCACAAGTGTCGTTTTCTTGTTTATTTCAGATTGCTTGCTTATCTTACACCTACTGGCAAATCATTATGAATTCAGCGGCTGGCTGGAGGTGGTTAGGGTGGGCTGAGGACATTGACTCACGCAGTCACATCAGGGAATCAGCAATAATTCAGAATATTATTGGTTCGGATGACTCAGGCGGGAACTTCAGGCGGCCGAACGGGCGGTCAGAAACTGAAGCCCACACAGCCATGCTGTAACTGGGCCTGATGGCTCAGCATAGCCCCCATGTGCCACTTGGGCAGGTAGAAATAGCACACGGGGAAGTCCCTGGCTTTGATACATGGTTGAGCATGAGGACAAAGATCTGGCTCCCAAATGCAAGACTGTTGTTTAGGCTAAATTCATGTGATTAAAATAATCTACGTGACAGCACAAACTGCATTTGCTGTAACAGACTGTGACCGCTGGTGGTAACAACAAATGTCTTGCAGTTGTAACTTCCGTACTGACTTTGCCTTACGTGGTGTAAGTGTGAACTATACTTATTAGTACTAAATGCACATTTCTAGCGTGAAAGTGGCACCGGCTTAGCATTTAGTTGAGCTTTGGTTTTCATTATATTTAGATGTATTTAGTCATGGAAAAAAGTTGCTGTTAACTCTGTGGCTTGTCTCCAGGTCATGCACTAGCACAGTATGGACAGATACAAGAGTTTTGGGAGTTGAATGGCTTATGTTCCCCCTCCAGAGGAGTATGAAGCCAGCTACTGCTCTAGTGTTACTTGCTGGAAGCTAGCTTGAGCTTTCATGTTGAAGCTGCCAAGAGGCTTGTGTGAAAAGATGCATGTTAGGGATATTCTGAATGCATGCCTTCTTCAGATGCATGCTTATTTTTAATGAGATGTCATGTAAAGTAGATCTTATGCATTACGTGCTAATGAGATGCAAGGGATTTCTGGTTTGCAAAGATTCACAAGTCTATATGCATCTCACAGCTGCTATAGATATGAATCCTGGCTGTGAACCACCACAGACATGTGCTGTAAAATTTGGATTAATCGAAAATCTATATGGGTTTACCACCGAAAAATTCTTATGGGACACTTGAGCATCACATCCATATGTGCTTGTTAAAAATAAAAATGTAATTAAAAATAAAGATTTGATAAAAAATAAACAAATAAAAATGTAAATAAAATTACATTTAGAAATAAAAACAATTAAACAATATATTTTAAAAATAAGTAAAAAATAATGCTAATGTGCAATTGGCTGTGCATATAAGTGTGTGTGGGTATGTGAGCATGTGCTTCCAGCACTGTTACTGTTGCTTGCGCCAGGGTTTAAATAAATGGATTCTACAGGATTCCCAGTAATGTAACCAAATAGTTGGTAAGGTTTTTTTTAATGATTTTTTATTTTTTATCAATATTTTTTTTGTCTTTTTATGAAAACAGAGAACAAAGATTCCCAGAGTACCACCCTGCTCTCCCTCTGGACAGACGGTATACTCAACCAAATTTCAGAAAGAGTAGATCTGCTTGAAAAAA